GGACCTAGCCGAAAGGCCCAGCACACGCAGCCCTTCCCAAGAGCCAATCGCAGTGGTTTGGCCGATTCCGTTGTTGTTGAATGTAGCCTGGCTGCCTGGTTACAGAGAGTACCTGGGAGAAGGCCCAGGCTAGGGAGAAGATGATGGAGGCCCAAAATACTCTCATACACCTGAGCCTTGCTGTTTTTCTTGTGTTGCTGTTGTTGTTTTTTATCTGATCCCAGATTTCTTTTTATTCTTATGCTGTCTTCTAAGACGTAAGTGAAAATTCAGAGGACTAATCTGAAACATTTTTAAGTTCTGCAAGTGAGTCTGGGTATATCATGATGAAATAATGTCCCCAAGGGGAGTCAAGAAAGGTTTAGCATTTGGTTATTTAAAGCAAAATGACACCGAAGAAAAGATGTGGGTCTTGGTAGCAGTTTTGTGTTGGGAGAAAACGTGGATGAACTGAATGTGGAATCCAGTGCCCCTTTGCCTGAACAGTCCCATCTGAAAACACATATTATATTCAGTGTACTAGGGTTCCTTTTTCCCCACATCCTCACCAGCACTTGTCCTTTGTTTATTTCTTGATGGTAGCCATTCTGACAGGTGTGAGGTGATACCTCATTGTCCTTTTAATTTTCATCTCTCTGATGTTTAGTGACTTTGAGCATTTTTTTATATGTCTCTTGGCCATCGGTATGTCCTCGAGCCTTCCTCTTTTGTTATCTGACTGCTGGGGTTGAAAAACCCCACTGCCAGGCTAGGTATCAGGTTCATAAGTACATGACCCAAGGGAGCTATGTAGGGGGTGAGAATCACAGAGTGACCAGCAGGAGGAGCTTGACCTGAACTGCCCCTCCAGTGGGCATCCTCCGCCAGAAAAGAGCTGCTCTCACAGCAGCAGCAGCAGCAGCCGCCTTTGCTCTCAGTAGGATTGTCAGATGCTGTTTCTCCTGGATGTGTGTATTGATCTTCCTTTAGTAGAAAGTTAATCATTGCCTCTTTGTCCTTTTCACAGAAACAGGACCTCAAATATTTGCTTTTCTTGGTTTTTTTCCACTGCAGATAGTTGGGTGAGGAGGCAGAATTTTAATTGTGTGTGTGTGTGTGTGTGTGTGTGTGTGTGATTATTTGTGCATTTACTTTCTTATATCTTCGTGGAATGGATCCTGCTGCAAAGTCTCGATTCTAGGAGAGATCCCTCTAGGCCAGCTGTCCTGTGAAGATCTAGGTCTGAACGGAGTCAAAGGGCTTGAAAAAATATATATACACACACACACACACACACACACACACACACACACACACACCTTTGCTCTTAAGAGGAAAAGCTGGTCTGTGACACCTAGGAGGGACTCATGTTGTCCATTGGAAGAATTTCAGAGCTGACAATTTGAACCCATTCTACTTGCTTTTCTGGATTGCTTGGGTAGTGACAGTTTGGGAGAGAGGCAGGTCTGAGTGACTGTGAAGACACTGGAAGCAGGATTTATTACTTTGAAACTCAGCAAGCATTTCTAGAGCACCTACCCTGCCAAGGTGGTGGAGTTCCACCACTTCAGGATGGCGGCCCCTGGAGTTGAGCAATGCAGTGGCCTACTGTGACCCTCATTAGATGCCATTGGAATATGGGGTGCTAGATGATAAGGCAGAAAGTAGATCAGATCTCCTTGGAGTGGATTATGATCTAGTTAAAGAGACAGTTCTCAATTGTAAAGGTTTGATGGAGTCATTACATAGCACCATCTTTCCCTGCCTGTGAACAGAACTGATTGAGAGAGATATAGAAATTGGGCAAATGGAGGATAAAACATCATCTTTATGACTAGTAAAGCTGATCCTGGAAAATGTAGTTCATATCTGTGGGCAAGAGAGTTTTGTGAAAATAAAGGGAATCTCAACTAAAATAGAGTTGGGAGGGCCTGTAGGAGGAGCTCTCACAGCCTACCACTCATGATCAATTACCCCAAACAGGAAGAGACCCATACTTTGCATCTCCAATAAGAAGTTTCTACTTGCCTACCGAGGCCTGGCAACAGCTCAGCCCTTTCAATAACTCTGCCAGTGAAAACCACTGCACTTGGAAATCCCAGCTTTCTCCAATGTTTGTAAAAGTCCCTCCCAACGCACCCCCCCATCTCTTTCCTCTTAAAAAAAAAAGGTTTCTCTCCTTTGTTCTCCAGATTTGCCTATGGTTTTGCCATAGCTTCCATGTCTGGAATTGTAATTCTTTGTTATCCCTGAATAAGCCCATTTATGCAGGTAAAATTACTGACTACTTTATTTTTTTTAGGTCGTTTCTTAAAATGAATCCTGGAATTAGACAGACTTACCTACCCATCCCAGGTAGCATGGGAGAACTTCAGTTCTCCTCCTAGCAGCCATCCCCTCTGTCCTTTGACACCTCCCCTCCCCCCAACATTTATAAAATGGAGGAGCAGAGCAGAATACAGATTAATCTCTAAGAAAGTAGAGGGGGAGAAGTGGTCAAGCTGCCCATGTCTAATTCTTGTCCCCCAAATTAGCAGCCCAGGAAAAAGGCCTGGAGTGTTACATTGAAAGATGTCCCTGTACAGAGAAACATCAGATTAAGGAAAAGAAGGTTCCTCCCTCAACATGTTCAAATGATCAGCTGGAGACGAACTCTAAGGCAATAAAGACCAACTATACAAATTTTTGGTACAATATATACTTGTATATTCAGTAGAAAAGGGATGATCAAAATAGCATGTGTTTAATAGGGGAACATTTCTAGAAGCAGCAGTGGGTACAATTTAGTGAAGAGAAGCACTCAGTTTTAAGCAGTCTGAACTGTTGAAATGGGAGAATTCATGATGAGCTGGAACTGTGATAAAATGAAGAGCCCCCCCGCCCCGCCCCCGCCCCCCCCCCCCGCCGCAATATGACTGACATAGTGGCTCTCATGATCTGGAAGATGTAGGTTGTCATCAATTACAGTAGTCATGAATGGAATATAAAGATTAGATGGTACAGCCCCAACTGGAATATTCACAGGCCGATAGAGCACAGTGGAGGACTCATGGTGGCAGCTGTGAAGGGGAGGGTGCTGGGGACTCCAGCAAGACAGGGCTGTTGGTGTTAGACATCAATCATGGCTGTCCTCTCATCTGATTTATAACTTCGATAAATTAGAAGTGCTTTCTGGTTTACCACCTTAAATGAAAATCGCTTGAAGTTTTCTTTAGAGCAAAAAGAAAATGGTTTTTTGATTTGTTTGCTTTTTGTCTTACCAGCTAGGATACACCCGAGAGCTGTGGGTACATGGGCCCAGTTGGTGTGATGTTTTCTTTTTAGTTTTCCGTTGCTTAATTGAAAATGATTTTCAACCCCACAGCTTCTTAGGAGGGGACTGGGAGAAGCAGTAACACAGACTTTCCAAAAACAGTGGGATAATTCAGAGGCCACATTTTCTTGATTTTGGAAAGCCATTTGTGATCTTTGTATAGTGGATTTTTCTTTCAAAACACATTTTTCTTAGTGACATTATAATCCGGTTGTCTTCTAAGAGCGCCCAGAAACTGGCAGCTGAAAATTATGGAAAGGGAAAATGGACAGCGAATTAAAATGAACTATAGATGAACCCATAGATAATTAAGCTTTAAGGTGAACAATTCTCTTTTAATCTATTTGCTGCCTGTTTTACATGGGTTCGTCATATTTATATAAGTGGTGTAGCTGGATATGTAGACTAGTTAAGTTAGACTGGCTAATCCTAATGTTAATCAAATATGTCTGTCTATCTGTGTTGTATGATATGAAAGCTGATGTGATTGTGGGCAGAGAGACCCAGGTGACCTCTTGGGGATCTATTTCCATCTCCAAGATTCATTGAGTTATTTGCTTTCTATCTCCTAAAATAAAGTAAAATAAATACTGAGCCCAGTGCCTGGAAGCTTCCCTAATACTTAACATAGAGAAATATTTATTGTATTTTAACTTGAAAATGGCTATCAAATAGTATGTAAAATACTAGCCCAGTTATGCAAAATTCAACAAATAGTAGGTTCTTATATGTCCGATGCTGTTTTAGGGACTGGGAGACAAGAACTAGATAGGGAGGGATTTGTCATTGCTCTGTCTCATTTAATTTTGTATCACAGAATTGATCGGGGAGACTTGCTGATGTCCTCTGGAGATAGAAAACACTTGTTTTCCCTCATTATGTTTTGGAAGCTGGAGACTGACTTTGTGTAGGTATTTGGCCGATACTTGAGTGGGTATATGAGAAGTCAGTGAGAGGAGCCCTGAGCTTCTCCTTCTGTGGATTAGGACAGTGCTTTGGAAGAGCTCATTTATCCCCTACTTTAGCTCAGGAGCAAGGACTAAAAGTTGAACCACTTTCACTGAGCTTCCTGAGGTACTAATGTAATCACAACCCCAAGCCACCTGGAAAACTCCCTTTCTCGGGGAGCCTTTGCTGGAGAATCATTGAGGTGATTCTTTCTCTTCTCAATGTGTTGTCACTTGCTATTGTACCGGACCTTTAGAATTTTTATTTTGGGGAGAGAGACTGAGAAATACAGTTTCTGGTCCATGGTTGATGGAGCATATGGGCCACATTGGATGGATTCCCAAACTGGAAATTTGGGTTTGCATGGTTTGCCGGCCATGTGGGCAGTGCCCGTTCTGGCCCCGACTCTTTACTCCATCACATGGTCAAGTAAGTCTTTGTGTCTCTGGACCTTAGCTATTACCATACATTTGGAAGGATTTTTCAACCCATTCTCTCATAGTTTTACAAGGGTTAAGAGATCTGCGCTTACAACATTATTTTAACAGGAGAAAAGCCACACTAAGTAGTCACTGTGAAGGTTTTTATTCCAGCAAGAAGAGAAATTAATAGCATAATAACCCCAGTACCTGAAGGAGTCAAGTGTGTGTTTTTTTTTAAAAGAATTAATATTTGTAGCTATTCATTCTCAATTCTTTGCTTCCATAGCCCCTCAAATGAGAATGCAAATGACTGACCAGCCTTTTGATATTTCTTTCAGGAACACCTGTGTGGTTCTTTGTGAAAATTGCTCCAATTCGAAACGAACAGGATAAAGTGGTTTTATTTCTTTGCACGTTCAGTGACATAACAGCTTTCAAACAGCCAATTGAAGATGATTCATGTAAAGGTTTGTAATTCTGATTTGTATATTTGTGGCTTTTTTTGTGTGTGCCTGCATTGTGAGCCTCATTACAGAGAATTTGAGGTTGCCAAGGAAATCTCTGCACAAAGATCAAGATTTAAACTTTGATAGTAAAGCATTTTATTGCTCTGGAATGTGTTGAGGGAGGAGAATAAAAGCTTTGTTTAGGGAAGCATCTGAATCAGTTTTATACCTGTTCAGATCAATCCTTTCCAATGAAGTTTAGAAAAAGGTAGTTGGGCATCTCTGGCCTCATCAGAATCCTCTTGGGTTTTCACATGACAGATGTCAGTCACCTAAATGAGGTGGTCCTTGGCCACATTCATCTTTATATATACACACATCTTTAAATTTGACTGAGTTCTAGGATTTCAAGATTATTAAAGTAGATTTTAGCCCATTTCTATCAGTGTGGTCGAGTAAGTCTGCAGCCATTTCATTTATTTGAAACATGGTATGTATTAATGAGCATGAGTAACATTTCCATGGGTGTCATTTAATCAGCTGTGACCACAGATGTTACCAGACACCTCAGCCATACAACATGCATGCATCGTTTGAATAATATTGGTGATTAGGAAAGGAGGCGGCTCAGATTTCTAGAACAACTGTCCTCCTGAAGGGGTTCACTCATCAGGATATATAAAAGATGGCACGTTGTTCCCAGAGGTTTGGGATTCGAGGGTGTCATGGCATTCTTTTCCATCCCTCTTCCAAAGCGTCTACTCATGGTAACTGGGAGGCTAGGGGCGCATTCATACTGCAGTGCTCCCTGGCTCTGTGCCTGTGGTTGACTTCCCAGCTCTGCCAGAGAGCTCTGCGCCCGTGGTTTCCTGCGACACAGCAGAGAGATGAGAGTGGAACCCAGGGGAGGCAAACTGGGGCCTATTCTTCTCGATGTGACCAAATTGTGATTGTTAAATGGGAATTATAGGAGGAACTAAAAAGCATTAATTATGTGGATGCTCTCAGGGGCTGTGTACCGTGAGGGTATTTAAAATCCTAGCACATGTGGATGCTCACATTTACAGAGCTCAGAGCATAGTGCTGTGTATACCAGTCCATTTTTTTTTTACTGGTAGTGTAGTAAATCAATCTCAGCCTGCCTTTTGGTTTAAGACTACAGCAGATGGGAAGTCTCCCACCAGTGTCTCGGCCTCCTGCAGGCTCCCTTTCTCCTGCAGATGTGGGATTCCCTGCTTTCTAGTTTCTGACTGGAAGATTTCTCAGTGCAAGAGCTATTACTTGGTGATAGGCTCCCTCATGATTAAGTGACATCTTGCTGCCACCTAGAAAGGTCATTTGCTTTAACTGAATAAACTCACAAATAATATTTTAAAGGTAATCAGATATTGTGACACTTATTTTCTCAAGCTTTCTCTTAACAACGTAAACTGCGTGATTAGGTCGAGCCAGAATGTTTTACCACCACTGGAACGTTTTCAGGTGACGTGTAGGTGCTATTTAGTGGGAAAGGCATACTCAATAGAGAACACGCCTCACATGTCACCTGTGGTCTGCATTTGATTCTCATGAAACCTGAAAGAAGAGATAAGTCACATTTTGCGTGATAAATGAGACTCACTTATATGAGTGATGTGGTGAGACTCACTTAGGTTTATTTTTCAGAAATAAAATGTTCCACTTCATTTAACCTGCTTCAATGATGTATTTCCTTCACACACACACGCACACACACACACACACACACACACGCACACACACACACACACTTTCGTCCTCAATGTAGGCATGCTGCTAGTGGATCGTGCCTAACGTCTCCTCCCGGACATACTTTATAAGCCCGTCCATTTCAAAAGCCATGGCAGATACGTGTAGACCCTCCCACTTGCCATGTCGCTGTGCCCCTGGCCCACGCTGATTTGGTGGTCTGCTTAGGACAAGGTCAAATTTTATACTCGTCTGTTTATGATAGAAGAACGTGATCATTCTCCAGGCCTTGTTCATAAGCCTATAAACTGCAGTTCTGGCCTCAAGGACCAAGTCGAGATGGAAAATGTGCTGCCCTGTGGCTGGGTTGCTCTCTGACTTGACATTTCTCCTTGGACGTGCTCTCTCATTGTGAGATCCCACAGGTCCAGCGGCGGCGTCTTGGTCCCACACGTCCATCAGCATCCAGGGTCTTAAGAGTGTTGCTGACTTAGGCTTGTTTAAAAGATGCTTTCCCACCCTCTGATCAGTCTTTTTAAAAGCCACTTGGGCTGATTATCTCTAAAATGACTTTATTTTCTCTGATCATGCAGTGCCTAACTTTGGGCTTGGGAATGGGGCAAGTGCATCCTAATAGTGGATTCGAGAAATCAGTTGGTGCCTAATATTTTCCCACAAACAACCCACAAAGGGGTAAACCCATGGCAATAGTCTATTTTACACTTGACGCCAAGTAACTGGCCTTTCTCCCAGAGCTCTGAGCACAGGGGACGGGCCTGGGAAAGGCTCTCTGAGCTCCCTCTTTCATTTAATATATTAGCTCTCATGATCCTTTTGATGAATTATCCGGGTCCTTGACTTCCTCTTCTCTTTTCTGTCCATCCCTTGCTCTCTGACAAAAAGTACCCACAGATGGTATGGAGCAGGCATGAAGGCCAAGCTAGGTTTGCTGCTTGAGAACAGCTTGAGAACAGCTCGGGCATGTGCGTGTGCGTGTGCGTGTGCGTGTGCGTGTGTGTGTGTGTGTGTGTGTGTGTAGGCTGAATGAGAAAGTGGAAATTCTTGCCTGAAATAAGAATCTGTGATGCTCCGGGGGTTTCATTTGTTTATCTCTTGCTTTCTGTCCTTACGGGTAATTGGGAATAGACTACAGTGTATTTTTCTCTGTCCCATTCTCCCTGCTGAGCCAGGAGCCTTGGGCAAGTGCGCAGGGAAGAGCCAGAGTGTAAGGCTCAGGCGCTTCTCTCTGCATTGCTCACCGAAGAATGAGTCACCCCTCTTGTTTTTTTCTCAGACCCCCACCAAGTAATCTCACATTAAAGGAGCAAACCCATTTTCAAAGATGCACGTAATGTCTTCTAAATGTATAGTTAAACTTGAGCCAAATGCAGACAACAAAAGGAATGGAGAACTCCAGAGGAGATTTTTGAAGGCCAGAGATTTAGAATAGTTGGAGATGAGAGCTCTGGCAAGCGGTGGTAACTGCCGGCCTGTTTTAATGTGTCTTCATGTGGGAGATTTGTGAGGCACGCAGGAAAGAAACAGAGTAATGGATACAAGCCACAGGCCCCTTCTTCCCGCCCCCCTCCCAGTATTAACATTTTATCTTATTCCCTTAGGATGATGGAAAGGTGATGATTTAGTGACTGCTACTTGAAGACATCATTGTAGATTTTTGGTTATTTGTACCTTGATAAGGAAAAGTTGGGGGAGGAAGACTTGACATTTAGGCAGTGTCCGCATTGACCATCCATCCTGGCCCCATGTGTCCATCGTTCCCTTCTGGACGTTGGGTTATGGCACCAGCTCCTCTCAGAGAATCTGTGACTCCACAGATTAGGACAGCCTTCCCACGGGGGTGAGGACACCTTACAGGGGTCCTCTGCAGCTTCTACTCAAAGTGACGGGGCATGAGTTCCCAGGGAGGGGCCTGTAGATGTCTTTCCTGGTATCCCTGGACCTACTCTCAGAGGAGCTGGAGTTCCATTTCTTCTGGTCTGGGGAGGATTCAGGGCCATTCTTCTGCTTAGCTGCATTGCCCTCTGGATTCGGAGTCTGTGTTGGGAAGGTGCTCCACGGTAGCACTTGGCCGATGAGGTTTCTGCAGCCAGGCACTGAATACTGCCCAACTTTAAAGGACAAAAAATAAAATCGCCTTGTCCTGATTTTAGCTGTCATGGAAAAATAGTTGCATGCTCTGTTTATTTGCTGGGGACCCTCAACCCCAAGGTTGGCCTTGAGAACCCCGACAGACTTTCAGGGGTTCCGTGAGGAAGTTGTCTTGGTCAACCTTGATGCAAATGGGTTGTTGGATTTTGGAAGGGACAGTTGTCTTTGGGGACTTTAAAAAGATCACCCATATGTCTTAAATTCTCAGTAAAGATCACTCATACATCCTAGATTCTGGGTATCAAGTGGGCTGGATTAGAAAAAGATCAGTATTGTCCTTTTCCTGGATAGACTGACGAGTCCAGATGGTCAAGGAGGCCTCGAGACAACCTCCGCTATAGCCCGTCAATCAGAGCCCATTTGTTTTACGAGGCAAACGCACCCTGGCTGTGGGGAGGTAGAGTATTTTAATGTTCACTTCACAGATGAGATAACTAAGCCCAGGTAACTTGTTGGGGATTACAAAGCTGGAGGCAGAGATGGGATTTGTATCCAGATTCTTTCTGGGACTCTGGATCCTGAGTTCAGTCCGAGTCTCTCCGAGTTCCTTGTTTTAAGGCGACCTGTCACCGACTGTCCTTCCCCCAATCCCAGAGCAGACTAAAGTCTGCCCGTGCTTTCCCCCCACTTACCCACGGATTAAATTCATTTTTTATTCTCCTGGCTTTGGAGAATGGAATGCATGAAATGGCTGATTGACAGCTTGTCCGTTTGAAACCCGGGGTGAGCTGGGTCTCTGCTAGATCAGATGCGGGGGTTGAGCTCAGTCACAAGGTCAGAGAAGCATCGCGATTGCCTCTAGTATCTGGCCGGAAAGCCTTGGGCCAGATTGGAGAGATCTGGGTTCTAGACTCTTTCTAGGTGTCTCAGTTTCCCTTTTGTAAACAGGTGCTAAAACCTACGTCACAAAGTCATAACGAGGATACAGTGAGAGTGCGGGGAAAGCGGCACAGATTTGAGCATCTCTGTGTGCTTTTCTGAGCAGCAAGGCTTCCTTGTGACCACGGGGAGGGAGCTCAGGAAGCCATGGGGTGTCTGCTTCTGACAGTGTAACTTGTGGTGTGACTGTCCGTGAACCTTCAGGACGTGGCTGAACCTGTCTCTTTTCTTTTCTGCATGTTCCAGGCTGGGGGAAGTTCGCTCGGCTGACCAGAGCGCTGACAAGCAGCAGGGGTGTCCTGCAGCAGCTGGCTCCCAGCGTGCAGAAAGGCGAGAACGTGCACAAGCACTCCCGCTTGGCTGAGGTAAGGGCGAGGGTCAGCTCATCTTACACTTCACCTCTGTGGGGCCCAGGGGCTGAGTAAATGGTGCACAGCTAGTGTGCTGGCTTCGAGGGGACCTTCGGGATCCCCATACTCTCAACCTGGCTGGGCTGCATACCACGATGTATGACTTTGGGTAAGTGACCAAACTCCCATCTGTAAAAGGGACTGCAGACAGCTCTATTCCAAGTTGCTTGAGCTTACACGTGTCAATTCACTTTTTTGAAGGAGTAGGGAAGGAGCTAGAAGTGCTATATATATGAAAGGGGGTTGTACCTGTAGACCATAAATATATATATATTTGAACAATATATAGGATCAGAGGAAAAGAAGATACAGGAAGCAAAAAGAAAATAAAACCACATATGATCCGACTAACCAGGGTGGTATTCTCCCTTTTGCTGGGACAAGTCCTTGGGTGATATTCACACTTTTTGGTATCTTGTAATTTAAATACTTACAATATATAAACTTAACTATAATTAATACACCTTATGTTAGATGATGAGGGGATAAGAGAGGGAAGAAAATAAAAGTATTTGCTTAGCATATATACACAGGTATATGTTTTATATAAACATTCATAACATAATCAAAGGTATTCATAACTCAACCTGCTCTGTAGTTTTCTCCACTTAACTTAATACCCTCTAATGTACTATACAGTTTACTTATTTATTGTATTTATTGTCCACTAATGTGTCCTAAGCACTTAAAACAGTGCCTGGCACATAGTACATGCTCATCAGTAGTAAGTGTTTTTTAACTGATCAAATGGATTAAAAAAAAGGAAAGGATGTTAGTGTTTTTGTCTACCTGTCTTGCATAAGAAATTGCTCATTGCTTGGCAATGTGAGGCAAACATCTGAGTCACATCCCAGGGGCTAGTAAATTTCAGTTAACTTGGCTACAGGCTTGCCAATTTTATGGATCTTTCCGAAGAACCAGCTTTTGATTTTGTTGATTTTCTCTAATGGTTTTCTGTTTTGAATTTTATTGATTTCTGCTCTAATTTTTATTATTTCTTTTCTTCTGCCTACTTTGGATTTAATTGGCTGTTTTTTTTCCTAGTTTCCTAAGGTGGGAACTTAGATGATTGATTTTTGATCTTTCTTCTTTTCTAATATATGCATTCAGTGCTATAGATTTCCTCCTAACCGCTGCTTTCACTGCAGGCCACACATTTTGATAAGTTGTGTTTTCATTTTCATTGGCTTCAAAATATTTTTAAATGTGTCTTGAGATTTCTTTGATCCCATGTGTTATTTAGAAGTGTGTTGTCCAAATATTTTGGGATTTTACAGCTATCTTTCTGTTATTGACTTCTAGTTTAATTTCATTGTTGTCTGAGAGCAGACATTGTGTAATTTTTACTCTTTTAAGTTTGTGAAGGTGTGTTTGATGGCCCAGAATGTGGTCTAGCTTGGTGAATGTTGCAGGTGAGCTGAGAAGAAAGTGTATTCTGCTGCTGTTGTCAGGTATATCCAGGTGATTGATGGTGTTATATAGATCCTTACTGATTGTCTGCCTGCTGGTTCTGTCCATTTCTGATAGAGGGGTGTTCAGGTCTCCAACTCTAATAGTGGGTTCATCTATTTCTCTGTCTGGTGCTATCAGTTTTTGCCACACGATTTTGATGCTCTGTTGTCTGGTGCATTACCATTAAGGATTGTTATGTCTTCTTAAAAATCGACCTCTTTTTCATTATGTAATGCCCTTCACTATCCCTGATAACTGTTCTTGCTTTGAAGTCTGGTCTGTCAGAAATTAATATGGCTAATTTAGCTTTCTTTCTTTTCTTTTCTTTCTTTTTTCTTTTTTTGTTAATCTATACCCAAGGATTTTTTTTTTTTTTAGAGCGAAGTGGGGGAGATGGAGAGGGAGAAAGAGAGCAAGAGCGAGAGAGAGAGAAACATCAATGTGAGAGAGACACATTGATTGGTTGCCTCCTGCATGCACCTGCACTGGGGCTGGGGATCAGGTATGTGCCTTTGACCAGCAATTGAACCTGCCACCCTTTGGTGCATGGGCTGATGCTCTAACCACTGAGCATACCGGCCAGTCCTCTAGCTGTCTTTTGAGTCTGCAGGCCTGACGCTCTATCCACTGTGCCAAACCGGTTAGGGCCTCTAGCTTTCTTTTGATTAGTGTTAGAATGGTATATATTTCTTCATCCTTTTATTTTAATCCATATGTGTATTTATATTTCAAGTGGATTTCTTATAAACAACATATCATTGTCTCACTTTTTGATCCACGTTTACAATGTCTGGTGTGACTGGCACATTTAGACTATTGATGTTTAAAGTGATTATTGATATAGTTGGATTAATATTTACCATATTAGTTCTTTTCTATTTGTGCCCTTGTTCTTTGTTCCTGTTTTGTCTTCCACTCTTTTTCTGCCTTTTGTAGTTTTAATTAAGCATTTTGTATGATTCTGTTTTCACTCCTTTCTTAGCACATCAATTATACTTCTTTTCTTTTCTTTCTTTCTTATTTTTTTTTTTAGTGGTTGTCCTAGAGTTTGCAGTGTACATTTACAAATAATCCAGGTCTACTTTCAAGTAACACTGTGCTGCTTATAACAAAATATTCCTAATTCCTCTCTCCTGTCCCGTGTGTGTGTGTGTGTGTGTGTGTGTGTGTGTGTGTGTGTGTGTTTTGGTCATTTTTCCAGCTAGGTGTCCTCTGAGCTTCCTGGCTCTGTAGTTTTGTGTCTGACATTAATTTAGAGAAATTCTCAATCGTTATTGCTTCAAATGTTTTTTCTGTTTCTCGCTCCTCCCTCGGTATTCTCATTACCTGTATCTGAACACCTTTTGTAGTTGTCCCACAGTGCTTGCACATTCTGTTCTATTTTGGGGAGTCCTTTTTCTCTTTGTGTTTCAATTTTGGAGGTTTCTATTTGACATAGCCTCAAACTCAGAGATATTTTTCCTTAGCTGTGTTCAGTCTCCTAATGAGCTCCTTCAAGTCATTCTTCATTTCGGTTACAGTGTTTTTGGTTTTTTCTTGGAATTTCCATTTCTCTGCTTACATTATCTACCTGGTTTCATGTGTTACTTTTTCCATGAGAGTCCTTAGCCTGTTAGTCCTAATTGTTTTAAATTCCTGGTCAGATAATTCCAACATCCCTGAATGTCTGGTTCTGTTGCTAGCTCTGGCTCTTCACATTGTGGGGTTTTTTTTGCCTGTGAGAATGCCTTGCAACTCTTTGTTGACAGCTGGACAGGATGTACTGGGTAAAAGAAATGGGCAAAGAGGCCCTCAGTGATGTGGTGGTGAGGTGTGGGGGAGAAGAAACATCTATAGTCCTGTGAATGGCTCCTGCAGTGATCCGCGCCCCTGGGCTGTGCACTTCACATACCTATGAAAGAATAGGGAAGGAGGCAGTCTAGGGTCAGGGAAGCATCAGGCCACAGTGCAGATCTGAGAGAGGCCGTGCCATCCCCACAGTGCCCGCTGCAGCAGAGATGCCAGCTCGAGGAGTCCTGTACAGGGACTCAGCCACCTCCTCGCCCAGCTATTGGCAGGTGCTTCCCTGGAACGCTCAGGTTTCTGTCCTTAGGAAGCTAACAGGAGTCCGTCCGCTAACTGCACTCCTGCAGCGGGGCAGAGAACCTTTTCTGGAAACGGAATCTGAGAGGGCACAGCTCCGAGTGCCACCACCTCGTCACTGTCACTCCTTCTGCCTCGGGAGGGAGGAAGTTGTGGCCGGTGTATGATCCACTCTGTGTGTGGCCTTCAGGTAGGAGTGACCCCGCTGGGATTTGGTCTGGCTGGGACGACTCTAGTGACACCCGCTCTCTCCAGGGAGCAGCTGTGGGCAAGACGTGGAAGGAAGCCACCTTTTCTGTCACATCCTCTCACTTCTTCCCTGAGAAGGAGCCAGGTCAACATATAACCTGACGTATGCACTTGTGGCTAGAGGGCAGGCACATCCATTCCACCATGCCAGGGACGTAAGTGCTGCCTGGCTCACAGCTCCTGATACTCACCAACTCATTACAAGATCTGGTAGCCGCCCCGTGTGCTTCTGTTTCTCATGTAGATGACAGGAGTAATGGACTGAGACAGCGGTGCAGGTTACAACTCATTTGGCAACTTATTTAGCTGTGTGATTTGGGGCAAGTCATTTCACATCTAAGAGCTTCCGTTTCTTCCTCTTCCTTCTCTTCAAAGGGAGGTAGTATATGTTCAAATGCGAACATGTACCCATTAGATTAATGAGGCATAAGGAAGATTCTGAGTGGCAACATGTTGGCATATAGTAAATGCGCAATAATATTAGATTTTGACTCTTGGTTCTTTATATCCCTTTAGAAAAACTTTCTTAAGTTTCAGAAATAAAACAGATTCTTTATCAGATTTTAAAGCATAGAGGTATATAAAGTAGAAAGTGAAAGCTTACTGTTTCTTAGAAGTAATTATTTTTTAACAGAGCATGATGTTATTACAGATATTTATATATAGGATTTATATCGCTTTTTTAAATAAAAATTTGGGTCATACTATACATATTATTTTCTAATTTGCTTTCTTCCCCACTTACTGGTATATTTGGGATATTTCCCTAAGAGCACATATCCCCTTTATACTTTTAAAAATATAGGTTTTTATTTATTTCAGAGAGAGGGAAGGAGAAGGAGTGAGAGATAGAAACATCGATGATGAGAGAGAACCATTGATTGGTTGCCTCCTGCATGCCCCCCACTGGGGATCAAGCCCACAATTCGGGCATGTGCCCTTACCAGGAATTGAACAGGAACCTCTTGTTCAATTGTTGAGCAGGGGTCAGTGCTCAACCATTGAGCCACACCAGCCCCTTTATTCTTTTTAATGGTTGCTTTGTATTCTGTTGCATGACTATATCCAAACCTGTTTAGCTCTCCCCCTGTGGATGCATATTCAGGTTGTTACTAATCTTCAATACTTACAAAGAATGCGTCAGTGAGTCTCCTTGTATGTATAATTTTGGT